AAAATCATATGAAGCCTGTGTACATAGTGTAACCACGTACTGGTCAAATAATGAATCTTTAAGGCAGTTGACCAACTTTAGCTTAATGAATACTATTCTGAAAACTCCAGCCATGGATCTACGTTCACAAACACTAGACATATGCATTACTGGAAAAAACCACAGCATATAGCTGGAGCAGATTTGAACACATTGAATTTCTGTTGGCTCACCTACGCTACATGCAATATTACTTACATCAGATCATATGTGATTAGATAAAAATTGCTAAATTAATCTCACAAAGCTTTTAAACAGACCAGCAGATGGTCCAGATCTATTCGTCCCCAGATGCAGAATGTTGCATTTCGCCTTTTTGAAGTTCATGAGATTCCTCCCTGCCCAGATTTCCAGCCTGTGCAGGTCCCTCAGGATGGCAGCACAGCCACCTGGTGCACCAGCCACTCATCCCAGTTTTGCATTATCTGTGATGATACTGTGAAGTCCAAAGCTGTGTCTCATTAGATCATGAACTTAAATAAGTCTCCCTCCAATCCACTGTTCAGATTGGTGCTCACAGGCAGGTTCCTAACTTCAGGTTTGGTCCCAGCCCAGCAGCTCTTCAGTGTCTGCTGAGCTACTGTCCCTTCAAGGTCTCTAGAAAAAATCTGTGTCTTTCCAGTAAGTCTGAGGCTCAGCTTCATGTCTGCTGCCTGCTCTTCTCACAGTGACCAACAACAGAGACTCCCAAATTCAAGTGCAGACTCTTCAGTCATGCTCTGCCCTCCCTCCATCCGCACTCTTCACAGCTTCCCCCAGCAGCAACACTTGGGCATGTTTTGAAGCTGGTTTCTACCTGACCCAAAGAGCTGCCCACTCGCCCTTGCCTGGCTGCACCCTTCCTTGATGTTCAGCCACTAGTTTATAAAGGGACATCATACACAATTATCTATAAAATACTATGAAAAAAAGAAAACAAAGCACCAACAGGTTTCAGGACATGACAACAGTCAGTGAGGAGCAGGGATTACAAAGGCAGGCACAGTGCCAGAGAAGATATCTAGACCTATCATTGCCTAGATGTCATTTTCCTGTGCTTCACTCTGTACTACACTTTCTTAAAAATACTGGATTTCCTTTGCAAGTGCAGAATAATAAATAAATTTTAAAAAGCTGAATATGCACCCTAAATGAGAATATTTTTAAAAGCAGCTATGAAAATATGTATGCTGAAAGAAATAATGCTATAGAAATTCTGGATGTTGAGCAATTTTTTTACAAGCTTAGCAGTCACTAATAAAAGTAAAAAGCATTAAGATAACAAAAGGTCTCAGATCCCTCTACCTGCAACCTAGAAATTCAGAATTTTCCCAGTTCTTGTCATAACAATTGCCTATATACCCTAAGCTAAGCACAGTGAAACTCAGTTTGTTAATGCCATATATCACAGGACTACCCAAAACCTCCAAAACGTATCTAGGATGCAGGAAAATAGTTCTCATTACTCATATCTACAACCTTTTATGATCAGAAGTTTGGATTTTAGTTCACTTTCTCCCGTTATAAAAAGAAATCAAATCGGTGTACAATTAGCTGCTTACAATTAAAATAAAACCTATTTTGCCAAAATATCAAGCAGTGCAAAGACACTTTGTAACCCAGTGAGACACATCTGGTCTTTCCCACGTGCCAGGCTCCAACTCCCTGATTACTGGTACTTCTCACCAGATGAGTTCAGACAGTCCAAGCAGAGATGAAAAGAAGTATGTCTCACAGTAGACGATTATTTCCCTGAGAATGTGCTACACAGTTCTAAAATACTTGCATCTTCATATTACTAAATCAATGTAGAATTGAGATTATTAGCTAATCTCAGAAAAAGCACAAAAAGAAACAATTCCTTTACATGCAGAAAACAACCCACAGAAGTAATTTACTAGTAATTTTTTAGGCATCAAGATTAGCAACTAGAGAGTAAATAATATTGAAAGCAAGCTCTGCATCATAGTTAGTGGACAATATATAACAAGACACAATGATCATAACACTGCACTCTGCAGTAGTTGATGTTTTCACGTGGTCTTCAGCAACAACTGATCAATCCATAGATCCAGGACTGATTCAGGTTAATATGACAGCAACATCCAGAAGAAGAGATTGTTACCAGGGCCATGAAGGGCAGGGACTGGGTTCAGTTTGAGATAAAGACATGTAAATGTAGGTGTTCACCTCTGTGATAGATATATTAATACCTATATTTTAATGAACAGTGTTCTAGTCAATCCAGCCAACGGAACCTGCAGGGTGACTCAGCTGAGCCACCAGTCAGCATTTAGTTTTTACTTGTGCCAAATCACTCTTCATGCTCCACTGACTGGATCTCCACTGACTGTGACAGAAGTTTAGATACACACATAAACCACCTACTTGTAGGCACACAATTGTAAATTCTTTAACCTGAAGCTGGATCCTACCCACAGCTGCAAGTTACACATCTACAGCCAACTAAGGGGGAACTTCACAAGTAGTGCCCTCTCTGGGAAAAGAGTTGAAGTCCATGGTTTGTCTGATACTGTAAGTTTTTCAAAATTTGTATGTTACTCTTCGAAGTATATGTGGGACTTCTCTGAACACAGTGCAACCCTCCCCAAAAATAAACATGGTGGAGGTCAGACTCTTTAGCAAAAACGTAGAGATAATTAAAACAAAAACAAAAAACAAAAAAACTTCCACATGGCAATAGTGTTTTCTCAAGAGGACCCACACATAGCCTGCTCCCTTCAGATGCTATTTGTAGGTATTTGGAGCCCTCTGGTAGAAATCCATGCAAGGCGTCATAAGACTCATTTAAGAGCATGAGAAACCCCACGTCATCCTGAAACCATAACCAAACTTTATCTTATGATAAGGTCAGTTCAAAGAATATCCTGAAACTCAAACTAGATTTTGCTTAAATCCTCTGGATATTAAAAAACAAGAACAAAATCATTCCTGTGAGCTCAGCAGCATAGCTTTGAGGGGATACAGGACTTAAGTATTAGACTTGCATCCTTATTTCCTGCCAGCAAAAAGAAAGTATCATAAGCCTTGAGACTGAGAAAGTGGTTCCTCTGAGTATCTCAAAAGATGTAGCCTTTTTATGTTTCTGAACCACCAGTGTGAAAGACATGGCAGAAAGAAAACACAGGAATACTTAAAACCAGGCCAAACTTGTACACCACTTTTATAATATGTTTCTGATGATAATTGCATCAGATGTCTTAGAGAAAGACGCACTGAAAGATTAACCTGTTAATAGAAGTTGCTTTCTCATCCGTATTAGTTAGTGGCTGGCTCACATACTCAGCATTATTGTTTTTATCCCCTTCCAAAAGAGGAAGTAAGCAGAGGTTTAAAAGATTTCTTACAGGATAAGAAGAGATTTTTAAAAGCTCATCTTTCAGGGTAGTCAACAAATTCAAAACACAAAACCAACGTGCTCAAAAACAGAGAAAGGAAAAAGAGCTTCCTATCCCCTAGTTCAAAAAAGCACCACTTTTTATACTTTGAAGGAACATCCAAGACATTTCCATTGCAGCTAAAGAAAGATGAAGCAAAGCAGACTTCCTGAATCAGAGAATATGCCTATTACTCACTTGGATGTGGGTCACTTTAAAGTTAACAGCCTGGACATTGAGAAAAATCTGTTGTTCAGCATGGATTCTTCATTAGTTTTCTTGATGCCCATTGGGTAACCAGACAGAACTCAACTGGACATTCTACTTCTGGTCATTCCTGGATATTCTGGTCAAGCTTCACTTCTGTTGTGAAGGAAATAACAATAATCCCAAAGATCCAGGGCCTTTGCTTGTGCTACATCTTCTTCAGGATCATTTGGTTTGATTCTTAGACCAAATTTTAAAGACTAAATACAGCTACCCACTTTAATGCATTTTCTTAACTGATACAAAAATTCAGGAGGATCAAAAAAAGAAATAAAAAACACAACTCTGTACCAAGCTTCCCAGTTGTCATTACTTCCAAACCTACTCCTCAGACTCCATGTCTTCCACAGACAAAATTGCTGAGTTGAATGATTAACTATTCTTAGCCAAATAATTTATTAAGCATTCTACGTGAAGCTCTCCTAAAATTCTGTGTGTCATTATGAAGATAGACTGTATCAGTAACTTCTCTCTGCAGTTATCTCCAAAACCAAGGTATATTCCTGCAAAGAGGTATCTTTTGAAAGGAAAACACAATATTACCTGATTTCCAACACCTTAATTTAATAAAGGCTTTGGCTTTGCTTTGAATCAAGGGAATTTATATTTCTGATCATTATTCTAATGTAGTAACATCTACTGCCAGTTTGCTTTAAAACACCACATCTTTGTCCTGATGAAAAAGTCTTCACTTGCATAGAGTTACAGGAAACTACCAGTCCCAAAGAGCAAATCATAAGATTTCAAGGATGCATTTGAAAATCCTTTTGTTGCTCAAGTTAGTACCAAAAAGAGAATGAAACTGAATTTTAACACATTTCTAGGACCTATTAAGAATTACACTTCATCCCTAAACTAACATGAGGAATGTGTAAATTGTTTCAGATTAGGTACAAACAGTTTATATTTTTTTATTTAACAAAACACTGATAGAACCACCACTTCAATACAGAACCCAGCCGTCTTCAACTACACCAAGTTTGTCGTAGCTTCCAAAATAATACACCAAAGAGAACTATTATTTTCCAGATACTGAAAAATCTAGGTGATAGCCAAATACTATGTTTAGTCACTTCTATTCAAATAATAAATACCAGCTAAAGTTTCAGTGCAAATTCACTTTAGAATTCATGTTCAGAATCAGTCTAGCTCAGCAACAAGACTTTCTAATGTAAATGTGTTTTTACAGAAATGAAAAACAATAGATCACAAAGCAACTGACCTAAAAGTCTTTCATCAGATTATTAAATTGTAAACACCAATCTACAAAACACAAACAGTCTGCTTGTATATTTTAAAGAATCCTAGTTTTCATACCCATGAACAAAATGTAATCTTATACTGTTCCCTGGAGCTCGCTCTCGTCGCTTAGAAGCTGCACTTTTTCTTTTTTCTTTGCATTGCTCTTTAAGTTGAGGTAGATCTTCTTTGTAAACCTTTAAGTAAGAGCACAATATAAATTATAATTAATTATAAATTAATTGTAAATTAAACAATTGATAAGAAAAGCATGTTTCTGAGAATTCAGTCACAGTTATCACCCACCAAAATGTTATACTGACATCATTGAAAAAACCCTCTAATAATTGTAACTTATTTTTAAATTACAACCAAAACTCTAATAGAACATGCTAGGAATATACATAATCACTTTTTTTTTTTTTCTCTATTGTATCTTAATATTTTGAATGCATCAGATAATAAAAAGTCTAAAGGTTTTGGTCAGTTCCTGCTTAGCGCTCAGCCTCCCCAGTTTACAAATTTCAATGGGTTTTCATAAAAGACCAACTTAAACCCTGGGAAACATTCCAACTGCCATTAAAACTAAAATCTTTACCTGTCGACGATAGGTGATCTGTGTCTCTTGTTCAATTTCAGAGTCCAGCTCTGGAACATCAGACTGATCTGAATCTGATTCATCACTATTAGAATCAACCAGACTCTCTGCCACCAAAAAAAAAACCGAAAAAGAAAATGTAGCAACTTAAATTACAAACAGAAAGTGTTTAAAGGAACTGCTTGATGTTTCTGATTTGACAGTCCATGCTCACATTAACTACAACATGAACTGCTAATAACTGACAGGGTGACAGGATCAATTCATTTTAATCAAATAATTATATGCATCTTTTTTTTTTTCCAGTGACAAATAGGCATCCATTTTGCTGTCAATTTAGTAAAGGATGATACATACAGAATTCATAAATTCTTATCTATGATCCAAACTTTTAAATTTTCCCTTTGCACAGGGAACAGAGTGGTGAATTTTTTTTTTCACAGCCTTGCTAGACTGAGCATACAGGGTACAGGAAAGTGTCAGGAAACGCCATCAGGTACTTCATGCAAAGTTTAAAGAACACTAATTTTGTGCAGACTGACGATTCAGAATACTTATTTCTATACTTCCACCAAAGAATTTTACTTCTCTTTTAGCCTCTCCTCCTCCCACCTGCTTTTCCTTTTTTTCAATAAGTTACTTACCTTGAGGTGCTATATGAAGAGAATCTTTCAGCTTCCGGTCAGGGACAAATTTCCACTGAAAGACAGAATGATCAGCTCCTCCAATGGAAACCACCCACTGGTGATCGTGCGACCATCTGACGTTTGTCACGTGAGCAGAATGACCAAGATATTTTTTAAACTTTGCTCCTAGAACAGGAATAAAAATCTCTTTCAATATACGTGGAATAAATGTTCCAGAAGCAACTTGGAGCATATCAAGGAACCTTTATAAAAAGTAATAGTTTGATTAAGACATTCTAATTACTATTGATATTTTAATTAATAGTGGCAGCTTCACGCAGTATTTGCAGATTTTAATGTGTCTTTAAGAAAAATTTTAAAATTTGGATTCCAGGATATAATATCTTTAATAAGTCAAACAAAAAGAGAAAAGACATACAATAGTGCTGTATGAGGTGTAAGAAGGAAGATTTTTTTTTAAAATTACTGTATTTATCTGTATGAGGTGTAAGAAGGAAGATTTTTTTAAAAAATTACTGTATTTATCTTTGCAAACCAAGATTTTGCCAATTATTATTTCTACATTGAAAAGATGAAGTCACTGAATGTTAAATGATGTCTGTTTAGCTCTGTCAAAACACCCCCACAAGTGCTCGTAGCACTGGTTCCCAATGTTTGTGCAACTTGAGTGCGAAGCACTTCCAGTAATCTTTGCCAATTATTATTTCTACATTGAAAAGATGAAGTCACTGAATGTTAAATGATGTCTGTTTAGCTCTGTCAAAACACCCCCACACGTGCTCGTAGCACTGGTTCCCAATGTTTGCGCAACTTGAGTGCTAAGCACTTCTAGTCATTCATATCCTTCCATCTTTAGCAGTACAACTACATCAAGTTAATGTTTCCACTGAGTATATAATTACAAGACAATCATTGAATCAGTTACCAAAAAGAAGTTCTTAACAGTACTCCATTACAGAGATTCTTGTGCCTTTTCTTTGGTTTTATAATTCTAGTGCAAGATAGACAAGCTAAAAAGGGAACAAACTCCATCTCCTTCAAATGGACAGAAGACTGTTCTGAAGAAAGTATTTCTGGGTTATCTCAGGTTCCAATAAAAGCCTTATCACTTTAAAAATAAAACTGGAAAGATTGAAATAAAATGTTTTTTTAACATCACCATTTAAAAAAAGAGTTGGAAAAACTCTTTTTGGGGCAATTCTTTAAGCCCATATGTCTTGAAGACATATCCTAGGAGTCATCACGAAAAACTCTTTTTGGGGCAATTCTTTAAGCACATATTTCTTGAAGACATATCCTAAGAAAAGATCATGCGGTTGTAGCCAGCACTAAAAATGCAATGCTGCATTATTGACTCTAATCACTTGGGAAAGTTATTTTTTCCTAGTTCCTAGCCCAAATCTCCATCACAGATCCAGAGGAAGGAAGAAAACTACTTGAAGACCAGGGTGAAATACTTAAAGAAATACTTAGAGAAATGTATCTCATAAAAGGCTAGTTATTGCATCACCTCATGAAATTCTGTGAAAAAAACCCAAATCAAAGCTAATCTATGTTAAAAAATAAAATATATGTAGAACTTCTGACAATTCAAAATGCAAATAAAATATCGTTATTATTTCAGTTGTCAACACATCAGCCTATTATTTACCAGCTTTGAGCTCAAAATAAACTTCTAAGAATAAATATTGCCCATTTATATAATTTTCAAAACCCCAGTTTTCTAAAACCTTTTTCTTGAATAACCAAAATTCAAAAATGCATGTTTATAATTGCACATAAAGTCCTACCTTTTCTTAGACATGGGTATCGAAACAGCTTTACTATTCCATAGTCATCAGCTGTAACCATAACTTGCCCAATAAAATTTGCATCCACAGAATTTATATCATTTATATCGGAATATTTGGGCCAGATTCCATTAACTTCCAGGCCAGAAACACAGGTCCATGATGCCCACTGAATGCCTTTTAATTCCTCCTTGTTTGTTACTTCTTTTCCACCTAAGAATAAAAATAGAGGTATTTTTCAACATTCATTTGTGCAATTTTAAAGAATGTAAAATTTTTTAAATTCTCCAGAATCAAATCCAAGTAAGACAGAATTAAAAACTGATTTCCAAATCTGTCATGATCTAGTATTCTCTATTATGACCAGCAATATCAGCAGTAAGGCTTCTGAAGACTACTTAACAGAGAACCTGGGTTTGGTTTTTTAGAGCTTTTATTATTTCTTGATATTTGCTTGAGGCTGTGTTATTTTTAAACATTTATCAAAAATACATGTAGCCATTCTAAGATAAAATTTGGGAAAATTCTGTTGCTGAACTAATCTAGAAACCTGAATTATTTAGAGCAAAAACTGAAAAACCCAAAAAACCCCAAACCATAAAAAAAACCTAACAACCCAGGCTCAAGGAAAAGTTTAACTACTATATACCCCTCCGAAAACTGGAAAGGAACTCAAGTGCTCTGTTTGAAGAACCTTCAGCTCTGACGAAATAACTGCACCCTTTGCCAAGGTTTACCTTGTAATCTCTTTCAATCACTAATCCATGTAAACGATGACTACTAATACTGGTTATATCCATGACTAAGTCCTACAGATCTTGTATTAGGCAACTCTAAGTTCCTTACCCATTTATAGTGCAATTCCAAGCGTTACATGATGCTCATCATTATTTTAAAATATTTAGGAGATTCCCTAACTTCACTAAACTTTTTCATAAACAAGCTTTCACAATCCCACATTTTAATATATCAAGAAACTCCAGGCTGAAAGCTGCCTATGTAACTCAAAATTGCTCATCCTGTGTGTTATGTATTTGTTACAGTCTAATTAAATTCTCACTTACTATCTTTTCTTACGTATCTTCTGTCTCATTCAGTGCACAGGAACAAAATTGTGCATCGAATGAATCAGATGCTTCAGCTAAGGGAGTCACAAAAAGCTCCGTGGAGCTATGAATAATGTACAGTGCAAAGCATATAGAGAGAGTAACAAATGAAGGGACAATATAGTAAGTGGGGATGATAAAAAACACTTACTACAAATATGATGAGTGGGAAAAATGTGGAAAGATATTAAAGAGTTTATACACACAGAAGAAACAAGTAAAACCTTGCGACAAACACTGCCCTTGACATACTATAATCAGGACTACTTAAATTTGAAGCTTTAAGATATAGGTATTATGTGCATATGTCCTCTGCAGAGGGAACTGTCGTGGTGAAAAATGTTTCAAGAGTATGGGACAGTACAGTCAAGTCTTCGAGACAGTGTTGTCTTGAAAATATTTACAATTATAGGGTTGTCACAAACTTTGAATCTGAAAGCTCTATTTTAATATTACGTAATGTACTAATTTGCTTTTGCCATAAAAGAGAAAAGACACATCTGAACTTGTGTTATGAGTAGACTGCCCAGCTAACTTTCATTTTGATATTTTTATTAATTTTGAAGGTTGCAGATTGAATCATATATGTATCACAGCTTCAATATTTCTTTTGTTTCCAGTGAGTAATTCCTAACATTCTGGCACCCTTATATCAGGTACTCTTATTTTCTCTAGAAGTCACCTAATCCTATTATACTTCCAAATTCATTTGCAGTCTGATCCCAAACTCATTTGCAGTCCTATCATTTCTATCTGTAGATATTTCTCACTGTAAAAGCTCTTTTAAGTTAAATTCTTCAGTTGTGCTGCAAACATAGTTCTAGAAAAGCAGATGACTCTTCTGAGATGCAACATACTGATTTTTCCACACATTTTAAAAAGCATACAGTGCAAGCAAATGATAATCTATTTAATATCTAAGCTCAATAACTACAAAGCTATTAAGCTATTGCAAAACTGGATTTTAAAGCAATATTATTCTTTTTCTAAAAAGGTGGGAGCAAAGACTTATTTTTGAGAAATAAAATAAATTATAAGCCTGCATCTCTACCATGAAAAGATGCATTATAAAGAGTAAATGTTTAAGAATGAAAATATTTAAGTAACTTTTCCAGAAAATGCTATCCTTATTCAAATGTAGCAAATATTTACATAAACTTAGAAAAAAATTTCTCTATAACCCAGTGCTTTAAACCAGGATCTGTATTTGGCTGTTTTTACAAAACTACTATACATTCTTTCCGTATTAAGTAACAAATATCATAGAAGCAACTCATAATCTTACTTGGCATCCTGTAAAAAAGTCTCTTCCCATTGCCATCATTGGTCTGTAAGTATTTACTGTCCGAAGACCAATCCATATGGGTGATGAAACTTAAAGATCCAATACATTCCCCAACTTTCTTGTATCGTTGAAGAACACCATATATATCCACAGAGCTGTCATTGGAACCAACAGCTAGGAAATTCCCATCTGGTGAATATTTCAGTTCATGAATAGCTTCTTTCCTGTCTTTGATATGAACAACCTCAGTCATATCTCTGTAGTATGAGAGAAAGCACGTCATAAGTATAGAAGAGCCTTATCATACTGTCAAGTTCCCAGTTTTAAAAAATGGACAAATCCGTGATACGATGAAGTGGACTTTACTCTCCTACGTGCAAACACAACACTGCTATTTTTAAGAGCTGGGTAGGGCTTCATGGCAAAAAAAAAAAAAAAAAAAGAGAAGCTAAATAGGCAGGTGTTACTGATATTAAATATAAATAAAACAGCATACTTAAAGATCAGTCTTCAACTCAGTAGTAAAACTTGGTTAATTTGTATAAAGAAGAAAATTATATCCGGAAAATTATAATGTTTATTTAACCCAGTGTGTCACCACAAACTTTAGAAAACTGTTTCAGAAGATTTTGTGCATTGCTGCAATTACTTCTGTAGCAATTGCTTCTTGTCCTGAAAAGTGATTTCTGTTCAGCCAGTTTCTGTCCCCAGTGTCATGCTATTTTTGTTCCACAGGAGAGAAAAGGAACAAGTAATACATATATTCATATCCAAAGGAAGGGGCTTAAACACAACATAGCACTGTTATTTTAAAACAGTTTTATTTTTGCATTAGGCACTGCTTCCCTGGGCATGTGTATCTGCGTATGTGTGTTTATGTGTCTCTATACGCACAAATGATAAGTAGCTACATCATTTACATTTTTATGGCTGAAGCCCTTAATTGAATTTTCATAATGCCAGGAGGGCCCATTCGGGATTCAGATCCTGTTGTGCAAATACGCACTAAGACATCTGCCCCAAAGAGCTTGTAGCTCTAAGAGGATAAAATGTGGCAGGGGAAATAATTAGGAGGAGATAAAGTGACTGTCTCTGGTTTGATGGGAGGGTCAGTCAGCTCCAGGACCAGAACAAGTATTCCTACTTGCCCAGCGGTGATTTACTGGTGAATCAGCAGCACCGACCCAGCTCTGTACTGGGCTCATGGCCAGATTGTCCCTCTTCCTTGTGCTGGTGGGTGGCAGGATGTCCCCAACCTCATCTGAGCTGCACAGCAACATCATCCCCTCCCAGAGAAGACCCCTCATGACACAAATCAGCCCTGTTTTTCCACATGCTCACTTGCTAGGAATCCTGCCCAAGACTCAGGTAAATAAAGATTTTGCTGTTGTTGGACTTATTTTTGAAGCAGAAGAAGGAAAGAAAATATTTAATAGAATGCTTTGTGTTGGAAGGGACCTTAAGGATCATCTTGTTGTTTTCCTACTGCAGGTTTGTTTCTCCATCACACATGAAGGGCAGGTACAAGGAAGATCCTGAACACCTTACATCTGTCCCCAAGGGGACATTGCTGTCAGTCAGGAACCCCAAAGGAGTGGTGTGCTCTGGCACATCCCCACGTGCTCCTTTTCCTGGCTCTGCCTGTCAGCCTTCTGCAATGCTCTCCCAAAATGCCAGCATCTCCATGCCTAAAGTCCAGGCCTTCATCTCCCACACGCAGCCATAGCCAGGCAGGGAAGGAGGGAGGTCACCTTGAGCACCGGAGGAGGTGACATGAAAAGCAAGGCACGGGGACACCCCTGAAACCCCAGCCCTTTCTAGAGCCAAAGTGCCGGTGCCAGCTTGAAAACCAGGGACCTGCATTTTCTCAGGATGGGGAGGTTTGGTTTGCCCTGGTGACTCTTGCAGAGATTTTCTACCTCTGCATTTGTACTCGTTGCCAGCTCTGCTGGCTTTGGGATAAGCCAGGCCACTTCTGTGGATGGACTCAGTTCAGCCCCACCGTGGGTAGTGGAGGAGAAACATGGTGGTACTAATGCAGCCATTTGGCCTTTGCTGCTGCTCCCATGTTTCCATATCTCTGGCGAGAAATTGCCCAAGTGACCAGGAGAACGAGTTAAACAGACTGCTTTCTTAGGCCTGCTCATGTCATTTCTGAAGAGCCATAGGAACTATACCTTCTGTCGTGTTTGTGGTATGCAGTAACGAGAATAAAAGTTGCAAATTGCTGTGATTGTCCACTGTACTGCCATTGGCAGATCTGTGTAAAATTCAGCAACACCTAACAATCTAATTTCCTTCTACTCTACAAAACAATGATTAATTTTGGTGTTGCCACCATCCCTGTGATTCTGACCCAAGATGCTGCAGGAGTCTGGGAAGGCTTTAGACAAAGGATTCAAAATTTCAACATAATTTTTGGCTAATACCGGAACACCTGTGTCGTGCTATCAGCCTCGTGCATGTGCTTTCTTGCAAGTGAAGTCATCCTTGTCTCCGTTCCTCAGGGTTTGCATACGCAAACCCACGAGCAGCCACTGAGGTTAACGTGTGGGTAGGTGGTTTTATAAAGTGGAAACCCGCTGATGGATCTGTGGGAATATTCTATCTGACTATTTGCACTGGATTTGCACATATACAGAAAGAAAGGTTACTGGCAGTCATAGTTTTAAAATAGTGCTTAAATAATGGCATTTTTAATTGAGACTCAGGTTTAGTCTTTGGGAATGGACACAGTTGATAGACTGGCAGAAGCTTCTTCTCCACCACTGCTGCAAGACCAAAGAGGATTTTATATGTCAATTCGTATGTAGTTACACTTCTAAACCAAATGTAACCATCTGACTTGGTTTTGTGGGTTGCTCCACAAAACCTTTGTATGCAGTGCCTTCCCCCGCCACAGCTGTGCTGGGCATGTGGACCCATATCTTCTGCTCCTTGTGGGGTCTGCAGATGTATCCCAGAGCACAGGCTGCCAGAGAAAGAAGAAAACAATATTAAATAAAGAAAAGGAGGGTTTGTGTGTATCATATTCCTTCAGAGGAGGTGAGAGTCTCATCAAAGCTGAGATGGGTTTTCCCCCCCTCTCTGTTTCACTGTCCCTTTCACACACCCCCACGTATGGTTCTGTAGTAAGTCCAGTCTATTTGCTTGGGGAGGCTTAGACTACCTGCTGGGCTTTTTAAGCATCCTAAAAATAGCTATTTCTGTCTCCTTAGACACGGTGATAAAATGAGGTGCGTATGTGGTACACCTGATGAAACCAGCCTTCTTCACTGACACAGTCATGAAGTCATCGAGCCACTGTCATGCTGCTGGCACCAGATGGGTTTCTCCTTGAATGGGTTTCTCCTGTGTTTGTGCAAAAAGGTTTCTTGCAGTTTTTCCTGGCTGTTTTATGGGGACTTGGTATAGACAGAGGGAGGACACTGTTCAGCGCTGTGACATTCTGTTGAGCCTGCAGCCTCCTCCTTCTAGTCCTGCTTTATGTGGTAGCTAAACCTCTTGTGGGCATGAAGCTGGTGGGTGGCCCAAGGGCTTAAAATGTTACCTCCTATACTTCCAGAGGTGGATCTGTTGCCTTAGACCAAACAGAAATTGAGAGGAGCAGAGCCGTTGCTCTAACACTGCTGCAAAGATGTCCATGATCCAAAAGATCCGTCTGAGGATGAGAGCAGAACACGTGCAAGATGGTAGACACAGTGATACTCCTGAGCCTTACTGCTTGCTTTACAATAGTGAACACTGTTAATTACCTTATGGAAGGAATTATTTTAGGAACTGTCATTTCTGTTTTAGTTATTGCAGGGAATCAGACACCAGAGAAATTCTCTACTTGCTGAGAAAAAGTCATTCTTGTCCTCTTCCAGTAAATTGTCTCCTCCTGTGCTTCTGTGCAGACAGGAGCTGAGGTTAGAGGTATGGATCTGGGCCTTTGCTGAGAACAGTAAAATATAAATTTGGGCTTTATGTCTCTGTGGCTTGTATGTGGAGGTGACAGTGCTCAGGTCTTGTGAGAACATTACAAACATAAACAGTAAATGATCATAGTATGATACTTATTTAGGGATTGGTGTCCTACCTATAGCAAAATGAGAATATAGGCCTGTCTTCTACTCCTTGAACACGGTTTGTTTCTTCCATCTGAAGGCAAACATACTAGAGGTTGTTGGAAGGAATAGCAAGCCTTTGCATTGTAGCAGTTCTGAAAAAACTGCAAGAACATTTACCATTAAAGCTAAAAAGCAAATATAACTCTTGAAGATGTCAAATAAAAAATTAGTACAATATGAATATGACTGAACTGTTCTTCCTGTCAGTGGTGATGTAAATCTTAAAATACAAGAATCATGTTCTGCTGTTAGACCTGACTGTCACGTCAGATGGTAGTGGTTTCTTGATAACATTTTTATAATCTTGCCTTTTTAATTCCTAGCTCCACTGAGGATGAATTGTAGTGGGGTGAAGGGAGAGTGGAATGGACGCTAAAAACTCCACAGCAACTGTGATTACTGTTGGCTGGCTAATGTCATGCTATAGGATGCCAGGTTAGGGATGAACCTGCCAACAGTCATGGCCCTATAGTGACCAGCATGGCAGACATGCAAAGAGCAGTGGGAGTTAAGGGCAGGAGAATAATGCAAGTACCTATGCACAGAGAGCATGAAAAATGGGTAGGTTATTGCAGTATGGAGTAATATGAGAGTGGGAGGCGAGCACTGATTGGGAGGGGGGTAGGGAAGCAGGTGGGACTCTTGTATAGATACCTTTTTCTTTGACTTCTATTGAAATTGCAAATGTACTGTTTATAATAGAATAGCTTGTACGTTTGTTCTTCACAGCTTGTAGAGAAAACTGAGAAACCAAGACCTGGTTCATCCCCTTGCCAACTCAGGAGGATATCTGCCCAGATCATTCTGGGTGATGGTGCTAGTACTGATGATGTTCCAGGCATCTTGCATTTAAAAAAGGGTAAATAGCCTGGATGTAAGAACAGATGAGTGTGCTGAGTAATTTATCCAGAAAATATCAAGTAGAGCTAAAAGGGGACTAATGCAGAGCTTAATTTAAAATTGAAATTAAAAACTGCTCCTATATTGCTGCAAAAACAGAGGCGGTTCCTTTTCTGTCTCAAACACCAAAAGAACTAGACCCGACGATGTAGATGTTGAGGTACGACTCCATTCAAGTTAATGAAACTCCGATGTCTCTATGCAGCAGGGACTTAAAAGATATTATATCAGCCTGGTTCTC